TGTCTGTCTGTCTGTCTATCTATCATCTCTCTATCTGAAGTTCCCGATCTCTCAAGCATGACACATGCAAGAACCTCCAACGGAAAGTTGCGCAGCACTCCGATGAAGCGTTCGTCCTGCAGCTCACGCGGGATACCAAACCCTACTGCCGCGGTCTCAGAGCTACCATCAACTCGGAGCCTACGGAGGTCATATGTATGGGGCCCTAATAATGAAAATGGGCTTTGGGCCTGTTACTGATTCTACTCTACCTATATATCGATTATGTAATTATATATAACCAGGAGCCTGATATTGACCATTCGGAAGCGCAGGGCCCGTGTAGCACAGCACTTTCCTCAATCTCTGCCACCGCCATCAAGCCAGCAGCCTTGACCTCGGAGTCCATGGTGTCTTCCTGCTTCTTGCATACTGACACGGGAGGAACATTGTTTAGGGTTTAGAGTGGCATCACCCGATGTTTCAAGTAATTCGGCTTCTGCATTCTTCATCGACGAAGCACGCGCAAGCATTCGCTGAGGAGACCGCTGTGACTGGAGCCTTTGCAGCAAGCCCCAGAACCACATCTGCATTCACCTGCCGGAGCGAAGACTGTGCCCACACGGCTTCATGGGAAGCGTAGTTTCCACGCTGAGGCTGCCGCAACCTCCCATTGTTGAAGACGCCTGTGCAGGTCAAGTTCATGCGCACGACAGTCATGCCATATACGGTTCAGATACCAAGGGACCCCACTATAGACCGTAAAGAGTAACACGAAAGGCCAGGGACCTCGTCCTAGCTGTGGATCCACTCAACTCTGAGGCATCGTCGTCGCTCGGCCTAAGCAACGGACAAGTCTACGGTGTAGGGGTTAGGGCGAAGGTGGTGTGGGACTTAGAAACCCTAAACCCCGGGTCGTCACAAACTCTGCAGCGACACTGACCCTTTCAGTCCCCAACTTTGGCACAGGCGGTGTTTCCTGGCAGTTGCGGCTGTCTTTACTCCGCCCACACAGCTTGACTTGGGGATTGGGGCGGCGAGGACTGCATCTAGTGAAGCATATAACTGACTGCATGACCTTGGGGCTCGAGTTGGCCATTTCCATAGTACATGCAATGGAATGGGCACCAGTAGCACATCAAGCAAAGGCAAAACAGCGGCCAAGGCAGATTCGTTCGTTGAGCCAGCAATTCGTCGAAAACCAATGCACAATTGACACCACAGCGCCTCATCGACCACCGCGATGCCGGTTCGCACAACGAAGAGTGAGCCTTCACAACTTCATGGACTCATAAGACTTCCAGCCAGAACCGCTTTTGTGATCGGGACTGGAAGACTCAATGAAACGTGAATATGGACGCACCCTGCGCACTGTGGCCTGTTCATCAGGACCATTAGGCAGCGCACCACGTCTCTTGCTGAAGCTGTCAACAAGTATCAAAATGCAACAGGCGACAGTCTGGGACTGGACCTTTGCTTGGTTTTTGCTGACTGCCCGGGTTGTCCGGAAAGGTGGGCCTCGCTTGGCGCCCTTCTTCACCAGGCATTCCTCAGGTCTGGTTCTCGTGTTACACACAGGACAAGCCACCAAGGCAGCGGAGGTACGTCCGACCGCAATAAGCGCGTGCGCATCATCGACGAGACCTGCAGCAAAATAGGGCACGAGTTCTTCGACACAAGAAAACAATAACGGGCGACAAGGAGACGTGTGTGAATGCGTGCATGTGGTGTGTATATGTTTACACGGATGTGTGTGTGTGTGTGATAACATGTATCTATGTGACTGTGTGTCTATGCTATATTTTTATATGTGTATGTGTGTATATACATGTTCATGCGTATGTACATACACATAAATGGATAAAATCATATTCTACACATGCCTATGAAAAAATGTGCAGACGTTCGACGATACATACGTATACACACAGCCACACACATGTGTATCTACACATATACATGTGTGTATATATGTACATATACACATAGACGTACATACAGAGGTCATGCATAAATATATACTTTTTTATATACATGTATATGTTTATTTGTTTTTTATATTTATACAGATATACACATATACAGACTTGCACTGCAGCACATTTTAGCGGAGATTTTCTCGAAATCACAGGCTCACTCACGGCATGCTGAGATTTCGCCGTGAAGAGCTCGCTCATTAAAAACACGAGCCTCAGAATCCTTCACAGAGCTTCAACTCAATCGCATCACGCATCTCAAATCTTCCGAGAGCCGAAGTTCACGTAGTGGGCAAGGAGCGGTGGGCAGCAGTAAGGCCGTAGGCGATAGCAGTGCACAGCCGAGGAGGGAAGGGCTCAGCGAGGTGGTTCTTGAGAATGCCTCTTGACCTCCCGGTGAGCGACGAGTGCGCGCAGGAAGACCTTGAGCACACTCCGTTGTGTCCACTGCAAGTAAGGCGCATGCGGTGCAAGTCCTCAGAGTCCAGGTGACAAGAAACATCAGCTCTTACGCCACGGTGTGTTGAACTGGCACGTGTCACTGGCAACGACCTCCGCGCAAGCCTTGGATTGTAGAGCAACGACCTCTGGTAGCCCCCAAAGCTTAGAAGAGGCAGGGTGGGCGAGGAGGTAAGGAATGCGGAACCGATCGAGCTCCTGGATGATACGTAAACATGCGCGCAGGCACCAGCTGTCATTCGAGATGTCGGCTCTTTCTGACTCCGAAAGCAAACCTGGATGAATGCCCCACGGTTGAGCGCACTGGATCAGCCTCGAATTCCACTGGACAGCTGCAGCGGCAATCGCAAGTGACGGCTGACACTGACGGATATTGAGGCTCCTAGTGGTACCTAACCTGAGCAAGTTGCATGCAAAGATCCGTCAACAGCGCCTCTATCTTCATGGCCCGAGGATCTACCCTTAAACACTTGAGATCAGGCGGCGTCAGTTTATGTGCAGCCGCTTCAGTCTTCAACAGCACGCTGCTACATATATATATATATATATTGAGTCAATGCTCGTTGCATTAACGACTTGCACAAACACAAGCACCAGAAAAGCACAACAAAATAGGGCCCAACTGAGGGCTGACATGATTCATATGGAACCATGTCAAGGGTCCAATTCGGGGTTATCCAGGATTCAAGTTGCAAGGCATCGCAGAAGCCAAACAGAGAGCTGAACGGCCTGTCTTTTCCCCGCACGACAGTTCGCAACAATCTGATCCTGATGATCTGGAGTCATGGGCCAACATCCCAAAACCTGAGGCCAAATCTATGCCTAAGCCTAAGCCCCGAAGCCCAAACTTGAAAGCTGCATTCTTAACCTTCAGGCTTCAGGCTTTCAACTAGGATGCCCAAACCCACTCAGTGACAAGTCGATTAAAGTTAAGTAAAGCCCCAGTCACCAACCCGACTAAATCTCCGTCCCCATACACACCCTAAACAACTGACAAAACTAAACTAAACGGACTAAGCGGTCTAAACGACAGCACGTAATTCACCATTGTTCCCGGAGACCTAAACATAAAGTGCGAACTACGCCCCTTAACCTACGCATTAAGCCGACACCGCCGAAACCATGGCTAGGAATTAACTGGCTGAGTGCCCCAATCGTTGACCTATGCTCCAGCCTACTTGACTGCAGCACCTCACTCGAGAGATGCCATCCAAGTCAAAAGTGCCTTTGGCACATTGATATTGATGCGGTTCAGACCTTTCTGAAACCTTAGATGCATGATTTCCACTGGGTTCAGCCACCGCAGCGGCCCCGTTAGGCAAGTGCTACTTTCTGAGAAGTTCTCTTAGAATTTCCCATCTAGCACATCTAGCCTTAATGCGACACCACTTGCAAACTGCAGCAATGCAACTCGCGGATCGAAGCTGCACGTGAGCGGCTATTCATACTCGGAAGCTTGTGGAGGATAAGATTCACAGCGTGAACCGAGGCACCTCAGTGATTCGAGCTAGGTGGTTTCATATTATTGTTATTGAAATTAAGGCTTGGGCACTTGGGACGAGGTCAGGTTGATCACAGGACCATATCAAATCATATGATGAATCATAGCAACAAAAAGAATTTCGACCTGCTGCAGGCACAGCGCAGTATGTTTTGATTGACTTTGCCTGCTGGTGGATTCCTTTGACGATCTTCAACTGGTCGCTGTTGACGATGCCAACGGTAGCCCATTTGCGAATTGCCTCATCGACGGTTTTTGCGAATTGAAAGAATGCGTCCACGTTCGAAGCCACTGCTTCGTGCGTGGCCTTCTTGAACATGACTGCTTTGATGCGCTGCACATTCCTATGCTCCAAGAGCTTCTCATAGTCATCTGGAATCTGGGAGAAGGCCGTGTGAAGCGGATCGGATATGTTACGCATGGCCTTGGCATCGACAGGTCATGAAAATGATCGCAAATATTATTGATCATCCTGGGAACCTAGCGGCACAGGCACTGACTCAGCGGCATTGACAACATGCATGTATCATGTATCATGCATGCAGTATGCACTCCGCCCATCGTGTGTTCATTTAAGCAGCTTCGAATATCTGCTCCGCCATAAAGCACATCCAAGTGATCATACCCTTCTTGATGCTCTCGTCCAAGGAGTCACACGAGTTCGCTGTTTCGTAAGCTTTCAACAGATGCGATGCGGTGCCCAAGATGCGCTGGAAGCCTTCCACCTGCATCGGCGGGACCACGGTGTCCTCGGAGAGGTTCGTCTCCCCCAAAGTCCACATGACAAGGGAAGCCTTCACCAACACTTGGTTTCGCAAGTGCAGAACCTGCAGCTTCTTCATCTCATCAGCCTTCCCGAGGACTGCGGCTAGCGAGACCAAGCTGTCAAAAAGCGAAGCCGATGTTGCACCCTTTCCTTTCAGGATGCCCCAATCCACGCTCCTGCTGTCCATCGGCAGCATCACACCGTCTTCAAGCTTCAGGCTCTTGTAGGCTTCCGACTCGACAATCAGGTCCGAAGTGAAAGCTGTGGACAGAACGGACCACAACGCGGGGAAATGCTGGGCCCTCACCTTCTTTACCAATTCCATAAAGGAGGTCCCATCCGTAAGTCCTGCTTGCACAGCATGGCACGAGATCTCATCCAGCTTGTCACCGCCTGTCTTGGTGCAGAACATCTTGACACTCGCCAGGAAGCTTGGCCTCGAGCAATTGTCACGCATGCAGCCCCACCCGTCCGTGACTGAGAACAAAGCTTGCCACGCGTCCACGGTCCAACCCCCTGTAGGCATCATCGCACCTTCTGTGGATTGCTTCATCAGGCGGTAGAAAACCTCGATGATCTCCACCTTGGCCACTCTAGACTAGAAGGTCCAAGCAAGAGTACTGAGTAATCGCTTCCCCTTTAGACTACCGCCCCCCAACCCCCCAATTCCCCGGCGAGGACTTTTGTGGTTTCGAGCCGGTAGATTGAAACTCAAAGAAATATATTCTAGAGGGTAGCCAGGACTGTACTTGTTTTACTAGGACCAGTACTATTATAGTGGTACTATACTATGAAACTATGAGGATAGTACTTTTTGTGACCCACTTGGCACGCCTATGACATACTATGAGGATAGCACTATTCGTGGTATCAGTGGTATCGGTATCATACTAGAGGAGGAATAGGACTAGGAAGGAATAGGACCACGGTCACGACACTGAAGAGCAGGACTAGTACTAGTACTCGCAGGAGCAGGAACGAGTGGTGTCGGCAGCCCGGAGCAAGCAGTACTAGCACTATGCGGAGCGATTGCGGTTTTGGGGTTTAGTCTAGTAGGGTTTAAGTTTTAAGGGTTTACGCCCAGGGGATTTAAGGGAGGTTTAGGTTGAATCAGGGGTTTGGCATGTAAAAGCACAGGCTGTATCGGCTCTATAGACTGTATAGGCATAGGCAGAGGCATATATGGTCATATGGTGTATGTTATGATTATTTGGGTGGGAGGGGGAAGCGCTTCCAAGTATTTTAAAGTTAGGGGGAAACGGGAAACGAGCACATTAAAGCCAGTAAAGCGTGTTGGGGCTGAGGGCCAGGATTGCTTGAAATTTATATCTCAGGACTCATGACCAGAGATTTTACTCAACCGGCTCTGTGACAGCACGACTGTAGCTCACAGTTCGTTTACATGAACAGAGCACACAGCATACACAAGTCGGCACTGAGTCCCAGACCAGGTCCATGAGATTGTCCAGCCGGGAACAGTTGTTCACGAGATCAGGTGGCAGAACGCAGCCTTTCTCCTTCATGGAAGCAAGGATAGGCGCTGGCCCACTGTCAGCCAAGAAGGCTGCAACCTTGCATGCAAACGTCAGGCTCCACAGCCAAGTCTCCTGTGTCAAACACAATGGGTCACCCTTGCTCAGGGAGCTCAAAGGAGCTTCGAAGAATGTGATGATGCGACTTATGCACCTGTTCAACAAGTCATTGCTGAAGCGACAGATGCTGTCGCGGACGCTGTCCGGAACAGAAACTGCCCCTGCTGCTGCCTGGAACTTGCGGCACGTCTGCTCACAGGACGCAAGGATTGCGTTGAATTTCTCATCTTGGGCTCCGATCTCTGCATCGGCAAGAAACGGCGCCAGGTCTTCAAGAGCCTTGTCAAACTGGCCTTGGCATTCGATCAACGACGTCACTGCGTCTGCAGTGGCTTTCAGCTCGTCATTCT